AAAAAAAAAAAAAAAGGAATCTCTGGAGTGTTGCACCAATTTTCAATATACCATCTGAAAAAGCAAGTTGTTCCTCACAAGAATCTCGCCTATGAGGGGCCAGACTCCGCAGCAGTTCCTGGGCCCTTATCCCCATTTCTTTCACAGTTTATCAGAGTAGGACCTGCTTCTCACTGGTCTCACTCCTCTAAGCCTGTTCTTTCAGTAGCAGGAAGTTACTTCTCTCTGCTCATTTACCTGTTAGACCCATACTGTGGAATGGATCTTACTGGCTCAGCTTGCTTAATTATCTTGCTTAGTGACATAAAGTTGAGCAACTAATCTTCACTGCCATCCAGTCAATTCTGACTCATAGCTATCCCCTTTGGGTTTCTGATGCGGTAATCTTTAGGGAAGTAGATTTCCCAGGAGTGGCTGGTGGTTTTGAACTGCCAACCTTCTGGTCAGCAGTCATATGCCTTAGGGACTATGCCACCAGAAGTTCAACTAATCTTATTTATTAAAATATCTGTAACAGTAGTTTCTGACCAGTGCTAGCTGTTATTTTGCTGAATTTACACAAACTTGAAGTTCTCCTTTCTTCATCTCTAAGGGCAAGATAATCCAGAATAAGATCACTTTTTGCAAGAACTCTGCCTAACTCTTTCCCCTGTCGCACCCCTCCCCCAGTTCAGTTTAGTGTTCCTCCCAGAAATTCTGGAGTCCCTGGGTGATGCAAATAGTTAACAAACTCAGTGTTAACTTAACTTTGGTGGTTTGAATCCATCCAGAGGTGTGTCAGAAGAAAGACCTAGTGATCTGATTCCAAAAAATTAGCCATTGTAAAACCTATGGAGCACACTTTTACTCTGATATATGTGGGCTCACCATGAGTTGAAGTCAGAGCTAGTTTTTTTCCCCAGGAGTTCTGCACACTTCTTTAATGGCAAATCCTGTGTGATGTACTCTTACATTTAATTTAAGCCTGTCTCCCTCACTGGACTGTGAGCTTCTTCTTCTTCTTCTTCTTTTTTTAATTTTTATTGTGATTTGGGTGAAAGTTTACAGAGCAAATTCATTTTCTATACAGCAGTTCATACACATTTTGTTTCACGACACTGACTGCAATTCCCCACGATGTAACAGATCTCTTCCCACTTCCTCCCCTTAGTTACTTTTTCCCTGTGTCCATCCCTCCCATGTATTCCTGTCCCGCACCACAATTGTCTCCCTGTGCAAACACTAGTCTTCTGTTCTCCCATGATTGATTGCTCCAAGGAGTGTTATCTACCTGATGTAAATGTTCACCCCATATGCTTGTCTTTTGTTTGGCTGTAACCCACAGAGGTGAGTTCAATTCCAGATCTGAAGGGCAGCTAGGGGCCATAGTCTCAGGGGTCTCACCAGGCTCTTCAGACAAGCAAACTTGGTCTTTTTTTTTTTTTTTTTTTATGATTTTGAGTTTTATTCCACATTGTTTTCCCACTCTCTCCAGGATCTCCTATACCGATCCCCCTCCAAGTGGCTGATAGTGATAGCCAGGCACCATCTTCATACAGGCTGAGGATCTAGACTGTGAACTTCTTCAGGCTAGGAAATGTGTCCTTTATTTCTGAAACTCTAATGTGTGTGGTGTAGAGTAGAGAATAATAAATATTTGTTGAAGGAAATAATGAAGTCATGAAAATGACTTAGTTGTCTCCTTTGATGCTGATGAGACCCACTGAGGAGACTTCTGGGTTTTTTCATTCTCTCACATTCCAATTGGAGTGGAGCTCGGGGAGAGGGAATGTGAAGTGGGCAGAGTAAGGTAACGGCCTACTTTCTTGCCTGGAGTGAGTAGTGACAGGCCTGCAGAGAAGCAGAGCGTGGCATTTTGCAGCTCTGTGTTTCTTTTGAGGGTGAGATGCTCCAAGAGATGTTTGATAACCTGCTTTGATGTGTTTCTTTCTTCTGGCAGATATGGGAATCCATAAAATCAGGGGCTGCTCTTGAAAACCCTGTACTCCTCAACAAGTTCCTCCTCTTAACATTTGCAGTAAGTAAATGCATTTTCTATTGCACTGAGACTAGTGAAAGCCTCTGGCTTAACCCAGTATACCAGCAGCACACTGTGCTTCCCCCTGTGAAGCTTTTAAATTATGGAATTCAAGTTACAGTTGTTGAAGGGATGGTCATTTTTTTAGCTGCCAGTGTGCTGGTGCTTATTCCCAATGCAAAATTTATCCATTTTTACCAGTTGTACTGGTAGTAGCTGTAGTAAAATGTGCCTAAAATGGTAGGCTGACTTTTATTATTCAGGACTTGACGAAGTCAAGTTCAGGAAGTAGTGATTTCATTGTTGTTAAGGACTGGTAGTGCCTAAGGCATTTGACTGTTAACCAGAAGACTGGTGGTTCAAACCCACCAGCCACTCCTTGGAAGGAAGATTGGACAATCTCCTTCTATAGTGATACTGCCTTGGAAGCTCAAGGAGGGGTTGCTATGAGTTGGATCCAACTTGACAACAGTGAGGTTTTTTTTTGTTGTTGTTGTTGTTGTTAAGGACTCCACAGCAATGGGTTTGGTTTTGGTTTTGGTTAATGTCTTTGTTAAAAGCAGTCCTGCAGAGCTCAGTTGTTGGACCATCGGCATAAGATAAGGTTGGAATTTTTGGGATCCACTATCCCCAGGGGGGATTTCTGGATTAGAGGAGATTGCACTATGTGGCTTGACCACCCACCCAGTTGATGTTTTGTCTTTTTCAGAAAGATAGAAAAAATAATGTTTTATATATGAGAGATTGAATTAAAGTGCAGATTAAGGGCAGCCTTGAAGAGGAAAATAAATCACAGTAAAGTAAAATATGTTGCATAGAGAAGTGGGGGGATAACATAAGGGGTAATAAGTTACAGGAAAGGACCTCACCTGGGTGGTAAGGAGACAGGAGAAAAGTAAGGATTGACTATAGAGATGTCGGACAATGAATAAGGAAGACCGAAGAAGAGTTGATGCTTTTGAGTTGTGGTGCTGGCAAAGAATGCTGAAAGTACCATGGACTGCTAAAAGAACTAACAGATCTGTCCTGGAGGAAGTGCACCCGAAATGCTCTTTGGAAGCAAGAATGGCCAGACTTCGTCTCACCTACTTTGGTCATATTGTCAGAAGGGATCATTCCCTGGAAAAGGATGTCATGCTTGGTAAGGTGGAGGGTCGACAAAAGAGGGGAAGGCCTTCAACAAGATGGATTAACACGGTGGCTGCGATGATGAGCTCAAGTATAGCAAGGATCATGGAGCTGGCGCGGGATCGGGCAGTGTTTCGTTCTGCTGTGCATGGGGTCACTGTGAGTTGGAAAAGAGTGGCGCCTAACAACAACAACAAATAGAGATGTCAGGAGTCTGTATGCGCGTGCACACATATACATACACACACGAGATGCATGCATACATGGGTATTTTATAACTGACTTATTCTTGCATATATGGGTATTTTATAACTAATTTATTCTTTCTAATTATGACAACTACATGATATTCTGTCAAGTATATTTCATACAAAGAGCTCTGGTGGTGTGGTACCTACGGCACTTTACTGCTGACTAGAAGGTTGGTGGTTCAAACTCACCAGCCATTCCACAGAAGGAAGACTGGGCAATCTACTTCTGTAAAGATTTATCTCTTCGAAACCCAAAGTGGGGTAGCTATAAGTCAGAATCCACTTCATGGCAGTGAGTTTGGTTTTTGGTTTTCATACGTTTCATACACTCTTGCTGTACAGTTAGGTTTTTTCCAATATTCATTATTATAAAATGCTGCAGTAAACAGTATTGTCCATGATGATTTTTTTTCTCCTGCTAATTTTACTTCTTTAGAATAAATTTTTTGGAGTGGGCATATAAATATATTGATGTGGATATGTATTAAGTATATTATTCATCTCAACTTCATTAGGTTTGGGTTTTAATCATTCTCCCCACTTTTCCTTTTCTTTGGCCAAGTTGTAGGTCTTGCCTTTCTTCCTCCCCCAGGAAATAGACCTTCTTTTCTTCTGAATGCTGCCTCCCTTACTGCCCAAGACAAAGGGGAGAATAGGAGTCAAACTGGAGGCTATATCAGAGGGTGGCTATCTATTCAACTCAACTCTTCAACTAACTGCCGTCAAGTTGAATCTGCCTCCTAGAGACCCCTCCTTGGGTTTCCAAGGCGGTATCATTATGGAAGTAGATTGCCCACTCTTCCTTCCAAGGAGTGGCTGGTGGATTTGAATCACTAGCCTTCTGATTAGCAATCACATGCCTTAGGTACTACGCCACCAGAGCTCCCTGGCTATCTGCTAGGAGCTAGTTATAACTAGCGCTCTGTGTAATAGTGAGGGAGACACAAAAATGTTTACATTCTTCATCAGATTTGTTGTTGTTAGTTGCCAGTGAGTCAAATCTGACTCAAGATGACCCCATGTGTGCAGAGTAGAACAGGGTTTTCAAGGCTTTGAACTTTCAGAAGCAGATCACCAAGCCTGTCTTCTGAGGCACTTCTGAGTGGGTTCAAACCAGCAACAATTGCTTTACTATTTGTGCTACCCAGGGATCCTTACTAGGTACAATTTGGCATTGATAATTTGTCTGTAAATTTGAATAATTTTGTAGGTTCTCTACTTGGCTAGATGTAGGAAGATCTGAAGATTTTTGGCTTTATTACTTGAACCTCAATACTTTTTCTGTGCCAAGAATTCTGATTAATAGAACATAGTCAATGATATGCTTTTAATGAGATAAGTAATGTTAGCTCTTCTCTAATTTTAAGGAATTTCCTAGAGTTAGTATGTATGTTTTTTGCCTTTTTTACTGAGAATTCTTACCTTGGCTTTAAAATAAAGCCTATATCTTTTGAAATCTTTAAACACAAAGAGCTTTGTGTTTAATTTAATTGAGATCCTTTGTATCCTGAAAAGAATCCTAAGAAATTCAAGCCTGTTGACTTGAAGATGACCTGCTAAAGCATCTTAGAAATTGTGAAGTCCTTGATCTTGAATTGTTTAACCTTTTGCTAAAGATCAGTTATGACAAATCATTTAAATACAAAGAGATGATAGTCTCTGGAGATGTTTTTGCTTTCCTTTCTGCTGTTTTTAGGACTCAAAGAAACAGACATTTCATTAATTCAATTTTGCAGTTTGTTTTGCTGTTGTCATTGCCTTTGTCAAATGTGTTGTTAGTTCCTCAATTAATGATAGAATTAGAGATTGCAGAAACTGTAATTACTTGACTTTCTCATCTGGACATACATTTATATATAAGTTTATATTTAAAAAGTTATCAAGTGTAATTCCATTTTTATGAAAAGTCCAGAGTAGGCAAATCCATAGAGTCCAAAAGTAAGTTAGTTGTTGCCGGGGGCTGAAGGGAGGGGGGATTGGGTATGACTGCTAATGAGTATGGGGTTTCTTTTTGGGACACTGAAATGATTTGAATTAGTGTTGGTGTTGCTACGACCACATCAATATACTGAACACTAAATTGTATACTTTAAAATGATGAATTTTATGATATATGATTTCTATCTCAGTAAAAAATAATCATTGATCAGTCACCCAATTTTCATTCTTTGCAAGGTTCAGGAAGATATATTAATTAGCCAGATAAACTGTGTTAGTGGTCAGTGGTCATAGACTGGTGAAGAATCTGTCAGATGCCCATGTAACTGTGTGATCCTACCACACAGGTGATTCAGGCCATAGATGCTCCAGGAACTCAAGGCATGAGCAATCTGTCTGAGTGGGCATACTGTCAAGGACAGCTTTGCAAATCCTACCCCCTGCATTCCTTCCCTTGGTCAGGGAGCAGTCAGATACTTCTGTGAAGATGTAACCTCTAATATGGTCCGTGCTCCTTAGTACTGAGAACCTCTTCTATGAGTTTTACAATTAAGACCTTATCTTATCTCTGTCCCATGCATAAAGTGAGCAGCTGTCAAAGGGCTGGGAATGGATTTTACTCATCTTTTTATTGTCAGAGTGTCCAGTGTTTTCTTTATACATGTTATTTTTCCTAATTGCCATCAAGTCAGCTCTGAATAATGACAACCCCATATACAATAGAACATAACATTGCCCAGTCCTGCAGCATCTTCAGGACCGTTGGTCTGCTGTAGTTCATTGTTGCAACCACTGTGTATTTTGAGTGCCTTCCAACCTAGGAGGCTACTCTTTCAGCACTGTATCAGACAATATCTGTTGTGATCCATAGGGTTTTCACTGGCTGATTTTCAGAAGTAGATCGCCAGGCCTTTCTTCCTAGTCTGTGTTAGTCTGGAAATGCCACTAAAACCTGTCTACCATGGGTGACCCTGCTGGTATTTGAAATACCAGTGGCATAGCTTCCAGCATCACAGCAACATATAAGCCAGCACAGTACAACAAACTGATAGACCGGTGATGGTCTTTGTACATAACAAGTACGCTATAGTTGTTGACTTGCATTTCACCAAAAATAAATTTCTGAAAATAACACTACATTGTTTCAGCCATATACAGGTATATTATTAGCATAGCTTCTTTCATAGGAGGCTTAATTTATTTGATTGTGAAAAAAAATAATACTGTGATTTAGAGTCATGCCTCTACAGAGGGTACTTTGAGTATGTTTGATACAGTGGAAAAATCTCCAGTTTTAGATGCAGAGTTCTGATCTCCTTGCTGCTACTTACCAGCTTTGTTTTTATCCTTCTCTAAGCTTCAGTTTTCTGTTTATAAAATGGAATGATAATGGCTACCTCTGAGAGTCATTTTGTGTATTAACAATGATGACAATAATGTCAACCACTTAATCAACATTTTCTGTGTTAGCAAGTAGCCAATAAAGTACATTATGTTTATCATCATAATATTAGTGGGTGGTGTGTATGGATGGAGTGTTTTGGGATAAAGACAGGTGCTCTGCATTCTTGCAGGAGTTCTGTTGAAGAGAATATTTAACAAGCAGGTCATATTTTATGTGTGTCAGTTTTTCTGTTTTAAGCGATTCTGAGAAGTTGCATTAGTAGCTGCATTTCAGTTTAATTACTGGTGCTATTCTTGTTCTTTAATCTTTGTTGAGATTTGTTGTTGTTAGTTGCCATGGAGTTGATTTTGACTCCTGGCAACACTATGTGTTACAGAGTAGAAGTACTCCATATTTTCTGGGCTGCATTATTATCAGAAGCTGATTGCCAGGCCCTTTCTTCCACAGTACCACTGGGTGGGTTAAAACGGTCAACCTGTAGATTAGCAGTCCAGCACAGACCACTTGAGCCAAAATACAATTCATCAATTTTAAGTGGACACTGTGGTGATTTTTTTCCCATATCCCCTTCCTCCCACACCTTCCCATCCTCTCATCACCAATTTTCTATTGTCTTGATGGATTTACCTATTCTAGATACTTCATATAAGTGGGATTATACAATATTTAACTGTTGGTGCTATTCTAATATCTTACTTTATGTTTTCTTCTAGGATTTAAAGAAATACCACTTCTACTATTGGTTTTGCTACCCTGCCCTCTGTCTTCCAGATAGTATACCTCTCATCCAAGGGCCTGTGGGTTTGCATCAAAGGTTTTCACCAAAACAGGTATCAAAAAATAGAACAAAATGCGAGCAAAATTGAGTTTAATATGCAAGAGTAGTTTTCCTAGTTCATTCTGAAGACAAATAGGTACTGCTTTGGATAAACAGGTAACGATTGTGGAATCCTCCAAAGGTGGAACTAGGAGTAGACTTATTTATAAAATGTTTGTAAAATCACTTTGAGAAAGTAGTGAAAAATACTTTCCCAGGTTTTCAGTGACACTTGACAACATGCTATGCCAATAGGGAGGAATTATAGGACCATTTTTAAAAGACTGCAAGAATATACCAAAATGTGGTCTTCACTTTCTCTGTGGGAAAACATGAAACAGTATACTTGGGAAAGAAGACTTCCTTCTTTGTTAAGTAGATAGTAAGTTCAGTGCTATGCTCTCTATTCTGTCCCAGGAGAGGAGCCAGAAATTCTGATGACTGTTTGTTGAAATGCAAAAATGCCCACAGATGCCCAGTGTCTTTACAGAGAGTCTTTGAGACAAAATAGAAGACATTCTTCTCCCCCTGTACCCAGTTTCAGACCTTCTTCATCAAGAATGAGGCTGGTAGTCTGTGCAGTTTAAGAAAGATGATTAGGTCGTTAGAGATGGTCCTGAGAAGAACAATGAAAATAGGCTGGTATAGCAGAGACCCTAAACTGAAGAATTCTGCTACTGTTAAGGTAAATATTGAGTGGCAAGGTGATTTGAATTCATGAAGCATATCATACTGAAACCTTGAACACTGAAGCCAGGGTGCAGTCTATATTGATTTGGGGGGGAAAAAAGTTAGTTTTAGGACAAATCAAAAGTAGTGGCTTGTAGGTATGGGACTTCTATTAAGTGTGGAAAAAAAAATGTATGGTTGCACAACCCTGTGTTTATACTAAAAACCATTGAACATCACAGAGAAGTGCCATGTTGTACCATACAGGGTTGCTTTGTGCCCCTGTCTAAAATACAGCACTGGACACACTGAAAGTGTTGTATAAAAGGTTAGTGGTATGATTAGGGGCATTTTGATGTTCAGTTGCTACAAACAAGTTAACAGAGATGTGATTAGTCATTTCCAGCCTTCTGACTTTAAGGTGCCTTTCAATTTACATTAATTTTTAGCTAGAAGTAGATTTCTAATTGTCTGGAAAATAACTGAATGTTTTCTGTTTTCAGATTCAAGCCCTTGAGTGTGCATATGATGATCTTTGTCACACAGAAGGAGTCACAGCCTTACCTTACTTTTTAATCGAGTATGATGAGGACACAGTGCTGGTTTCCTTGCTTAAACACTGCAGTGATTTCTTCCAAGGTCAAAGGACAAAGGTCAGAGAAATTTTGAATAGCATTTTATTATCTAGGGAAAAAAAAAATTCTGAAGTTCATGTTATGATAGACCACTCCAAAATTTAAGCTCATTTAGATATTTTTAGCCATCCATAGAATGTTTTAGAACATTTTCTTATCTCTGCTCTCACCCACTCCTGCAGTTCCCAAATCAGCTCCTCCTGCAGACTTTCCTACCTCCGTTACATTTCAGAGTAATTTTGCATTCCTTGCTTCCTGTTAGTGATAGTTATTTTAGTTTTTCCTTGGTATGTTTTACATCCTTCCTTCATTTCAGTTCTCATAGCTACCACTGCCATTCAGGCCCTGAGTATCTCACTCTTCAACAGGTAGATTCTTTTTGTTCTGTTTTGCGTATCACCACTACAGAAATATCTTCATCTAATACTCACTATATCATTCACTGAATATGAGCCTAATTAGTGTCTTTCTTCAAGCCTGAGCTCCCTGTCCTGCCTCATCTTCCACTGTTTTCCTTGTAAACCATTGCTCCACCTTAACTTGTCTGTTTTTCACCAGCCCTGCATCAAGTACTGCTATGTCTCTGTTTTTGCTTATCTTTGTACCATCATCCTGAAACATATTCTATCTGTGAAAATCCTGAGAACCTCTCCCCGCTTGATGAAATTCTACTCATTCCTAAGCTACTTTAAATTCTGCCTTCACCATGAAGCCTTCTCTTAGTGGTCTGGCCATGTGTGATGTATCCCAGCTCCCCACTCACTGCATTTATTATCTGATCTTCATTTACTGCTCAACTACACATGGGGTCACCATGAGTTAAAATCAATAGCAACTAACACAACAACAAACCTTGTACAGAGTATATTTTATACCATATTAGAGTGTAAGCTCTTTGAGGGCAGGGAACATGTCGTAGCTATCTGTGTCTACATAATGTCTAGCGCTTGTCTTACTGACATTAGGTCTTCAATAAAATTCTTTGGAATTAATAAAAGAGTACTGGAGATGTCTTTTAGAAGTGATCAGATATGTAATAAGCTATTTTAGTCATATAAGAGATTGTGAATTAAAAATAAAATGTTGATGAGTATTAAGAAGTTATGAGATCAAGTGGGATAATTTTGATACTGAAGAGCTCTAGGGAGTTGACAGATGCCCTCTGTCTGAGGGTTCCATGTCTATTGCTGTCAATTTTGACTCATGGTAACCCCATATGTAGTTGAACAATAAATGATCGGGTAATAAGTGCAGTGAGTGAGGAGAATGGAAGAGAATTAGGGAGCAGAAGCTGCTTCATACATAACTTACTTTCTCTCCTACAGTCAGAGTGCTTCCTATAATGAGAGAATAAGCATCCACTTTTCTCTCCCTGGAGTCCCTGGGTGGTACAGATGGTTAACTGATGCTTGGATGCTAACTGAAAGTTTAGAGGTTTGAGCCTACTCAGAGGTGCCTTGGAAGAAAGGCCTAGTGGTCTGCCAAAATGCCAACCACTGAAAATCCTGTAATGCACAGTTCTACTAAGATACATGGAGTCTCCCCTGTAAGTCAGAGTTGACCTGATGGCAGTTGATACTGGTTTTTTTCTCTTACTAGCTCACAGCACATTAGAATACAGAAAGAAGGCCAGACTTCAGGATGCAACTGCAACTTAATGAGCCCACCCCTCTGGGCCTCCATTCCCTTGTTGTGTATAAGTATATGATAATGACACCTTCCTCATAGGTGGTTGTGAGAGTGAAGAGATGATGGACACAAACAGGCTTTGTTAAGTTTTACTCACATACAGTAATTGTTCCTGCTATATTTTCGTAGAATAAATTTGTTTTTTCAAAGAAAATTGTCAGTTTCAAAGGAAAAATTGTTTTTGTGAACAAACTTCAGTCCCCTGTTCTTCTAAAAAGTGGGATTTTGATGCCCTGAGTCTTGTAGCTAACTGTCTTTTGCAAGGAAAAGCAAACTTTTTTTTTTTTAAATTGTGATTTGGGTAAAAGTTTACAGAGCAAATTCATTTTCCATACAGCAGTTCACATACACTTTGTCTCATCACATTGACTACAATTTACCACAGTGCAACAGTTCCCCTTCCACTTCCTCTCCATAGTTACCTCTTCCCTGTTGTCCTTCCCTCCCATGTGCTCCTTCCCCTCAACTTGCCTCCCTGTGCATACATAGCCCTTCTATTCTCCCATGATTGATTTCTCTAACGCGTGTATTTATCTAACGTACATGTTCAACTCATATGTCTGTCTTTTGTTTGGCCGGAAGCCACAGGAGTGGGTTCAATTCCAGACCTGAAGGGCAATTAGGGGCCACAGTCTCAGTGGTTCCATCAAGCTCTATCAGACCAGCAAACCTGGCCCCCCTCCTTTTTTTTTTTTTAATGATTTTGAGTTTTGTTCCACATTGTTCTTGTTCTCCCACTCTATCCAAAATCTCCCTCTCTGAGTGGTTGAAAAGAAACATTCTTACCCCTTTGTTTTTTTTTAAAACAAAACAAAACAAAAATAAAAAACCTAAAAAAAGAAAGAGTGGGCCACCTTCAAAGATTCCACTCCTGAGATTTGTAGGATTATCAGTTCAGCAGCCCTTGGTACATCCAGGAAGGTTATACCACTTCACTAATGGTGCTTTCTTTAAACTGGCATTCCAAAGCAAATGCCTTTTTCATTGGTTCCCTGCCATCCCTTGAATGAATTTTGGTTGTTAATGTGATCACTTAATGTCAAACTTTTGTGGTTGTGACTTACAATTAAAAATACCTGTTACATAATGACTCAGTGTTCATATTTTTGTGTGGCTTTGAATAGAAAAACTAAAACTCACTGCCGTCCAGTTATTTCTGACTCATAGTGATCCCTCCTTGGGTTTCTAAGGTGGTATCTCTGTGGAAGTAGATTGCCCAGTCTTCTTTCTGAGGAGTGACTGGTGGGTTTGAACTGCCAGCCTTCTGGTTAGCAGTCAAATGCCTTAGTCACTGCACCACCAGAGCTCCCATGGCTTTGAATGTACCCAGACATATATGACTGAAACAAAGGTTTCACAAAATAATACTTTCCATTTTTTTTAGTAGATGTAGGAGCTCTGGTGGTGCAATGGTTAAAGCATTTGGCTACTAACCAAAAGGTCAGTGATTCTAACCTACCAGCTACTCTGTGGGAGAAAGATGAGACAGTCTGCTTCCACAAAGATTTACAGCGTTGAAAACCCTATGGGGCAGTTCTACTCTGGCCTGTGGGGTCTCTGTGAGTCAGAATTGACTTGATGGCAGTGGGTTTTGGTTATTAGGTACAATGAACTCTATTTTCTATTTTATTCTGTTTTATCATTTTGAAGGATGCTAGTTGTGACCCACTAAATGATTTAGGACTCACGAATGGCTTGCCACCTTTGTTTGGAAAATGCTGTGACTGTATCACTATTTTGAGAACACTGGCAAGTAAATGAACTGCAGTAGGTAGTTCCATTCATTATTTTTATTGCCATCTGCATCTTTAAGTTTTAAAAAAACTCACAAAGTTCTTCAGCTTCTGCTTCAAAATTTTTTTTTCAAGTAAGCATTTTATATATTTCCTTCTAATCATTTTCTGTTCATCTTTTAAATTATAGTCATATGCTGTATAATGCCTCTTTGGGCAACATCTGAACTCACATATACTTCTGTGGTCCCAACCCCTGTAAAGCCTGTTATATTAAAAATTTGAGGTACATACAATGGTTTATAATAACAAATGGGTGCTACTTTGTGATACACGTCAAAACATTATTACTGTATTATTATGTTAAATGTGTTTTAGTGTATCTGGAAGTGTTTATTTAATTTTTTTATGCATAGAAAGATACATTATATAGTATATACTAAGACAGACATTTGACTAACTGACATTAGGTATGAAGTACAATTTGACTTAAAGTACAAATTCGACTTAAAGATGGATTTAGGAACAGAACTCATTTGTAATCTGGGGACTGCTCATATGTCATATGGTTTTTGCATGGCATCCAAATCATGTAACGTCCTATGTCACAGAACATTTTGTGGCGGTTAAGCAATGCATGACTGTATATTTTATTTTTTTTATATAGCATTTTAGCATAAAAATATTACATTCTGTATAAACATTTCACCTTTTTTCCTTTTTGTTGGCTTTCTTTAAACCTAATCAATGACTGTAGATAAATATTTACCATGTCTATTACAGGTAACAACATAAAATAACTGCTTTTGATAGAAATCCATCTCCTGCCTTCCTCATCTTTTAAAATAAATATTGGTATCAAAATAATCCTCAGCATATTTTTGATACTTCTTCTAGTCAGCACCCACACTTCTTCAAAAATTAAGCACAATTAATGATACATAAGCATACTTTTTAATGGATAGATGATAGTGTATTTTATGAGTTTTTTTTACACACAGGTTTTCATATTTCTTCACCATCAGGAGCATTTTTGTATAAAATCCCTTCCCTCCATTCCATATTTTGAATTTTGTCATTAAAAAAGATTTCTAGATGAAGAGTCACTAGGTTAAAGAGTTCCATCATTTTAAAGTTTATAATCAATGGTGCTGGTGAATGTTTAACAACCAACTATTGGCACTAAGAGGAAGGGGAAGCCTTGATTTATAGTGTTTGTATATTTCCATAGTTTGATTATTCCCACCATGGCCAATTTTAAGCTACCAATGTGAAGTCTGAGAACGTGGAGTGGAGAAGAGATACCGACAGTGGACTCTTAACCGGCCTGTAATCAGCTGACTTGAGCGCATCTCTGCTTCTAATCCATGTTGCACCAAAACTGTGCCCATTTCCTCTCCTGCCAACTCTGTGCCCTTATCATCATTGGATGTTAGACAGTTTTACACATTTAAGTTGAAAATGAGTCTTGTATAAGCTTTATTTTCCTCAATGAAAGTTGATTCCATTTATTTCATCACAGTGGCACTGCATTGCTGCAACAAATTGTCTTTCAGGTCAGTTCTGTCATTACATTAAAAAAAAAACAGCCCATCT